CACTAAACAGAGACCTGGGAAGAGATTTGCAAAATTAGCTAGCAAGCTGATAAAAGCCAGTTCCAGCATCCCCACTCTTAACCCCGTTTGATTTTTTTAATCTTTCGAGGGCTTGTTAAACTGTTGTTGGCCAGACCAAATTAGCCAAATCAAGAGACCTTTGCCCTCCACAGAAACTAGACAGTGGGTTGAGGCGGGCCTTCTCTCTCTGGTGGTCTTCAGCTCAGTAAGTGCAGACCATCTGATAACTCAGCAAATCCAGGATAGCTTTGACCATGACTTCTGTGTAGAAGCCAGCCACTACTAAATGCAGATCAACACAGCTTGCTTCGTGTTTAATAATGTCTGAGGGTAACTTGTTTACATCAAAAAGGTGTTGTTTGACTACTGTACGACTCTATGTATATGTATATTTTGGAATTCTTTCATTGTCCTTTTGTGGTTTTTATCTGTAGTTCTTATGGGCTTGTTGTATTTGAAAGAGTTTCTAAAAAGTAACAAGGAAGGGCTAAATAATTCCTCAACGCAGCTTTATGGTATATGACACATTAGCTTAGCCCATCAGAAGGTATAATTCTTTTGAAGATTTTATTTATTTGTTTATTTTATTTTATTTTAATTTTTAAAGATTTTATTTATTTATTTGACAGGGAGAGACACAGCGAGAGAGGGAACACTAGCAGGGGGAGGGGGAGAGGGAGAAGCAGGCTTCCCGCAGATCAGGGAGCCCGATGCGGGGCTCGATTCCAGGACCCTGGGACCATGACCTGAACCGAAGGCAGACGCTTAACGACTGAGCCACCCAGGTGACCCTATTTGTTTATTTTAAAGAGAGAAAGAGAGCACCAACGTGAGCAGGGGGAGAAGTTGGAGAGGGACAAGCAGACTCCATGCTGAGCTCAGTCAGTTGAGCATCCGACTGATGCCCCAGCCAGAATGTATTTTTTTTTTAAGATTTTATTTATTTATTTGAGAGAGAGAGAATGAGAGATAGAGAGCACGAGAGGGAAGAGGGTCAGAGGGAGAAGCTGACTCCCCGCCGAGCAGAGGGCCCGATGTGGGACTCGATACTGGGACTCCAGGATCATGACCTGAGCCGAAGGCAGTCGCTTAACCAACTGAGCCCCAGAATGTATTATTAAGAAGCTAGAACATGTGGGTTTGAGCCTACATCTGTTTTGTGGCCACCTGACACTTGTGTGCCCTTGATCACAGAAAATAGCCAGAGTGATAAGAAAGTCTAGATTTTTTTTTTCAGAAAACCTTCACCACTACAGAAAAAAATAATTCCTGGCACAGGTCTTCCTGAGGCTTTCAACACTAGCATTATCTTCCCATGCAAATAGAGACAATATTGAATCGTCGGCTAGAAGCTGAAATAGGATAGGAATTTGTTCTCATTTTTTTTTACTTCTTCTTTTCCTCCTCCCCTCCCCCACCCCTCCCCCTCCTCCTTCTTCAATCATTTCTTGATGTAAAAGCCGGTCTCCGGTCTCTATGCTCTGCAGTATCCTCTGAATCAAAGTGATGCCATCAAAATGGGTAACTCTGCTCTTGCTGACTCTTCTTATAAATAGGAGTCCTTTCACCAACTTTGAGCTGGGGCAGTAAACCGTCGGGATCCAAATAAGGAAAAAAAAATCAATTTATTTGAAATGAACATATAAATATATCAAGCAAAGAAAAGCAATAATAATGGTTAAAGTACCATATCTTTTCTTTTTTAAGTTCCAATTGAATAAAAGGAGCACTTGCATTTTTTTAATCACTGTTTTGAGAATGTTACTCTCAAACAAAAGAAGTGTTTCACTGATGGCATATAAGCCACTTATTTTCTCTTTCTGTCCTGATCAGACAAGATTTATTTACTTGTGTTTCATCTCCTTGAACCTCACTCTACTACACCCCTCTGGGCGCTCAGACTCCAGTGGATTCTAAATTATTCACGGTGCTGAATCATGAGAGTAGAATTAGGAGAATAAAAAGATCTTAGGAGAGAAGAAAGAATTTAGCCTGCAACACCAGGAAAGAGTGATGCTGGGAGAAATTGGGAATTCGGTTGTCTGATTTCTGGAGCAGCCTCGTATGCGAAAGAATTGGGGCATGAGAAGGAAGGGGGTTATGGGAAGTGTGAGCTGTGTCTTGGATCTCCTTTCTTCTCTGGCAGAGGGCATTCTTAAAGATTGGAATTCCTTTTAGATTTCTACTTGATAATTGATGGGTGGTGCCTCTTTGAGTGTAACTCTGATAACTGTGGCAGATTTGTGCCAAGCCCCACACAACAGTGAAATCTCATAATGAAGCCCCTTGAATCTAACACCATAGCAGGTGATTCCTGTCTTCTGTTCAGCTCCCTTCTTCGAGGTGAGGCAATCTCAAATTCTTACCTCCTTTGGGCACTGGGGCTGGGTCAGCCTATTGGGAAAGCCACGTCCCCAGGATTCTCCCTGTCCAGTCTAACCCTAGTGGATTTCTAGCATTGCCACTGCGGTCCTGCACATCCCCATTGATCGAAGTACTCAGTTATCCCTACTGATCCAGGAGGGGAGCTGACAGCAGCCACCAGATGGCACCAAATTGCAGTAGGCCCTGGGGAGTGTCCCCAAACCCCATCATTACCCTGGATATAATGACACCCCTCCTTTCTATATTTCCCATATCACACATCACATCATGGCAAAATTTCTACTGTAAATCACAGCAAAAGAAAGAATACTCTATTTGGCTGCATTGTGCAGTTTTGATTGTCCGCACCAAAAGAGGAAACGGTAACTAACAAGAAGCCATAAACAACCCCCAAAGATCAGACATTTCTTTGCTAGAATGGGGTATTTCATTTCTTTGGAATACGAGTGGGCCGAATGTCCTGAGCAACCATTTTCAACAAATTAATGAGTTCACACTGTAATGACTTGTCTTAAGAGAAGTAATAAAATGATCTGGTTTCACTAGATTTGAAGTGATTGATCCTGTCTTACTTATGGTCACTCCTCTTCCCACCCAGTCTGAGCCTCGGCCTGAGCAGGGTTATCCCTTCAAACCTTCCCAGGAAGCAGAAAGCAGCTCCTCAGTAGGCCGGTGCATGACACTAAACTAAACTGGGTGAGGTGAAAAATCATCAGTGCACGGGTTTGCATTACTTAGCCCGAGGCTTTGCTGTAGCCTAGTGGGAGAACCTGAGACCAGTGTGGCTCTGCTCCTGGCTCTGCCCCTTGCAGGAGGGCACTGTGACCCTCCACTGCTTGTATTACCTCTAACACACCTTAGCTGAAAACTCTAGATGTTGGGCTGGGAATTGCCGAGAGCCCTGTTCAAATTGAAGGATGTATAGAGTCCATGCACTAAGCTTAGGTGGAAGGTTTTCCCAGGGTGAGCCTCGGGCAGTCATTCATTCTGGGTAACTGAGCGGTGGCTACATTTATATTGTTTACGTTACCCCCCACCTCCAGGGCATATATGTTCCATCAGGTAATCCCTAGGAAGTAGCAAAATATTTCGGTCCTTATCTCTTTTATGGTTAAGGAAATTACTCCAAATCACAAGCCAGTGGAACCACAGGACAGCATAATAGGATCCTTCTGTTTATTGTTCCTTATAGGACACTTCCTTTGAGTGGCCTCAGGAAACATCCAAATATTAAAGCAAGTTATTTCAATTTAGTGAGATGGCCCCAGTGGCAGCTCAAACGAGAGTTGGGATCGTGTGGTCAGGAGTAGCTGATTTGGTATAACAGTGACCGCCTGCTGTGAATGGGGGGAGGGATGTGACGGAAACACAATAGTTTGCATCATTGTTAAGAGGACTTAACAAAAGTCTTTAGAAAGCTGGTTCAGGAATTGTTCTTTTCTGGCAGGGAGTTCACTTGAAAATGTAATCATTCTTTCTGATCTGTATTTTGTACATCATGCTCCACAAATGGAAAGCTGAAAACCAGTGTGTAAATCTTCTTCATATAACCTCAGAGTTGTGATCAGGTAGTTGGAGAGAAGAGCAAAAGCTACTTTAGCCAGAGCCTCTGGGAGGATCTGGACTAAACTGTACAGGTCCAGAAAGGACACCTTTCTGCACAGACCCAGGCCCCTGAGTTGATTAAGTTGCCTTGAAGGACAGCATTTTACGGAGTAGGCTCATACAAGCCGATCTCCCACCCCTCCACCCCCCACCACAGATTGAGAAAAGAGGGAGACTACATTAGGATACTTTTGTGCAGTATATTCCCTCTTAGAGGACAGTTCTGCTCAGAAATAAAAACAAAAAATTTCAGAAAAGAAGTTTGTATAGTGAGCATCTATCCAGAGGAAGGAAGGTGGGAAGGAAGGAAGGGAGGGAGGGAGGGAGGGAGGAAGGGAGGAAGGAAGGGAGGGGGGGAGGGGAAGGGCGCTGGGAGGAGGGGAGACAAAGACAGGAAGGAAGAGAGGGAGGGAAGGAGGGAGGGAGGGAGAAAGAAAGGAAGAAACAGCCCAGGAAGCTGGGACAGCTCTGTGCGCCGCCCTGCCCACCCCCGGGCACTTCCCACTGTGGTTAGGATCAGACCACACTTGCTCACAACCTCTTTGCTTTCTTTCCACCACTGCAATCTTCTCCAGTGAGTTATGTTGTTTAACATTAGCTATATTTCGTATTTTCCTGAGCAGGCAGAGACTACCCTGGGTTTATCTACATGTGTACACATTCTCTCTCAGGGTGTACTGTTGCCTAGGAAGATTTCTACAGATGGCTATCTTATGTTAATTCATATTAAGTTCCATTTCAGAAATGTCCATCTCAGAGGGTGCTGTTTTCCGGTACTTTTTCCCCGCAGTCTTGTGGGAGCGTCCCCTCATAGGAGGTTCAACTATACCCCCGAAGCAGGGATCTCACTTACTCTATCAACAGGCTTGTTTTCATGCTCAATATCTTTGTGTGTTTCATGTGCCCTGATTTCCAGTGGATGTTAGTTACAATACAGAAATTAAAACCCACACAGAAATCACAGTGTCTCTGTTTTCACTGTCTTCCAGTGTCATCTTGCATTACAACATATAAGAAGACACCACCTCCAGTCCCACCCAGAACTACCACGAAACCTTTCATTTCTATCACAGCCCAGAGTAGCACAGAGTCTGCCCAGGATGCCTACATGGATGGACAGGGCCAGCGAGGAGATATTATCAGCCAGTCTGGACTGAGCAACTCCACGGAGAGCCTGGACAGTATGAAGGCTCTGACAGCCGCCATCGAAGCTGCAAATGCCCAGATCCACGGCCCTGCAAGTCAACACATGAGCAACAACCCTGCCGCTGTCACTACCACGACCACCATAGCCACTGTCACTACAGAGGACAGGAAGAAGGATCACTTTAAGAAAAATCGATGTCTTTCTATTGGGATACAGGTAACAGCCTCCCTTTCTGTCCTTTGAAATAGGGACCCCAAAACTCAAGAAATTAAGCACTTTTATTTTTCCAGAAGATTTGCCATCTGGCCATTTTGGGTGATACGCCATGTGGGGGACCAGATTTTCAAATGATTGACTCTGGAATTCCTACATTGTTAAATGTGACTTAAAAATTATGAAGAGATTTTGTCTGTAGGCATTATTAGAAGCTGCTATTTTTGTCCTCTAAATTGAATGTGTGACTCAAAGCATTGGGATAGCTAAACAAACATGAATACAATCACCCACAAAGTGCCCTCAATTCCTGATGCACATTTTGATTCTCAAAAAAGGAGTGGACATCCAAGAATAACCTGGGTTACTGAGTTGTGTTATAGTATGTTCGACACTATTGAGCAACCATCTGAGAACAAAAATGTGAATCACTTCTCATACACGTGGGAGTGAGGGGGAGCAAGACCAAAGTGACTGGTAGTGTAGAAAGCAATCACTCACATCACAGTTTCACGAGCAAAGAATGCGCACTAGTTTCAGCATAATTGTTGGTTATTTAATCATGCATTTCAAAAAATGGTAGATAATTCAGCAGGCTTCTCAGTTCAGCCCAGTGTTTTCTGCTGCTCAAAGATAAGATCAAACTGATTCTTGTTTTTCACATCTGTTCAGCTTGGCTTACCCTGTTAGAAATTTCCTTCTCTCAGTGGAGAAGAGTCATGCCTTTCTCCCTTTTTTGTTGTGCCGTATCATGCAGGTGCCCTTTGAATAATAACTTCCTGACATGGCAGCCAATAAATCTATTCACAATGAACCAACTCTAAGGCACATCTAAAAGCCAGGCGTGGGGTAGGTTTTCACAACGATGATGTATTTTCACAGTGCATTCTGCACAGTGCACTTCTAAAGGGCAATTAAATTTTGTCTAGTAGCAATGAGTCAGATGTTGTTGGGTTTTTTTTAATCTTTTTTTTTTTATTTGACAGAGAGGGAACACAAGCAGGGGGAGTGGGAGAGGAAGAAGCAGGCTTCCCGCGGAGCAGGGAGCCTGATGCAGGGCTTGATCCCAGGACCCTGGGATCATGACCCAAGCCGAAGGCAGACTCTTAATGACTGAGCTACCCAGGCGCCCCCAGATGGTTTTATTTTATATATATATAACCTACAGGTTACCATAGCACAAACTGTCAAGTTTCCTAACAGAACTTGTGGCATTGGTGCCTGGTACTAGAAGACACAGCAGGAGGCACATGCACAAAGCCAGCCTCCACCCCCACGCCCACTCCCACTTCCCCCTAGAAGCTAACTGCTCTCCCAACTGCCCAAGGGATTTGGAGGAGTAGGGAAGAGCAGAGGCTGGTTCTCTGTGCTGTCCCAGGTAAATGATGCCATCTTCCTGAGCCTGTTTCCTTAACTATCCCTCACAGAATTATTTTGAGATTGAGTTTACAAATTCCAGCTTCATATGGGGGTACAGAATTTCAACTTGGGATGATGAAAAAATTCTGGATGTGGATGATGGTGATGGTAGCACAGTATTGTGAATGTACTCAATACTGGCTGGAACTATACACTTAGAAGAGGTTAAGATGAAGAATTTTATGTCATGTATATATTACCCATGATAAAAAAAAATCTACTTTCCTTATCTGGCCCATAGCTGGCACCGGACCATGTTAGTTTACTTCTACTTCCTTAATGTTCAGTTAAGTTTTTTCTTTATTTTACATTATTTATTTATTTTTTAAAGATTTTATGTATTTACTTGACAGAGACAGTGAAAGAGGGAACACAAGCAGGGGGAGTGGGAGAGGGAGAAGCAGGCTTCCTGCTGAGCAGGGAGCCCAATGCGGGCTCGATCCCAGGACCGTGGGATCATGACCTGAGCTGAAGGCAGACGCTTAATGACTGAGCCACCCAGGCACCCCTACATTATTTTTCAATGGATAAATATTCCTCTGGCTCAAAATTTGAAAGTTACAAAAAGGCGTTCAGTGACTAGTCTCCCTCCCATTCTTATTTAATAGCCTGTCAGTTCTCCTTGCCGGAGAAAATTAATATAACCAACATTTGCATCTCCATACAGAGATACTTTGTGCATATTCAAGCAAATATATATTTTAACTTATTCCCCTTTTTTCACCCAGATGTTAGCATATACCTCACCCTATTCTATATCTTGCCTTTTTACTCTTAATAATAGCATATTTTAAAGATAGTTGTTTGTCAGTCTTACTGTTCATTTTATTTAAAAGCTTCTATATATCCATCTTAATCACCTCCCAGTCTGCCGGTTGATCTCATAGGTTCTTCTCCAAAGAATTCTTTTTTTTTTTTTTTTTGAGTAATCTCTACACCCAACGTGGGTTTTGAACTTACAACCCCGAGATCAAGAGTCACAAGCTCTACCAAGCCAGCCAGGCGCCTCTTCTCCAAAAAATTCTTACTCAGAATAAAGCATTCATATACATGAAATCCACCTTATATTACTGTCATTTTCACCCAGTCAGATGGAACTACTCTGAAATCCACATGTAATGTTGGGGAGAAAGTTTTGTTGCAGACACCATCCCGCCACTTAAATATCTGAATGTTTTAGTGAGTGGAAAAATTGCTCTAACTCTTCCTTCAATCACTGTTCACTACTATAGAAACTATATGGAAGGACTGAGTACTTTATGTGGTTGTCTCATTTAGCCCCTACAATAATCCTATGGCATAGGTGGTACGATTATCTCTACCCTATAGATGAGAACACAGAGAGGTTGAGTAACTTGCCCAAGGCCACACATCCTACATTGACAGCCTAGATTGTACCTTGATGCTTAATGTGACCATGCTATACCACTTCTTTGATGGAGAATAATAAGTAAAAATTCAAAATGCAAAACAGTCATCAAATTTTATTATACTGTAACCCAATTTAAATCTTAATCCCCAAAATATATAACACTAGGATCTTGAACTCTTTCCCACCCTTTACCTCTTTAGGGTCAGAGTTTCCAAACCTTACCCAACATTTTTAATTTAATCCATGCCCAACAGCTAGCATTACAATCATTTACTCTACAACCTGTGTGAGTTTAGGCTAATTACTTAATGGTTCTAGTTTCCTCATCTGGAAATTGAGAATAACAGTCACTATTCCACAGGGTATTTTATTATAGGTTGTAGTAAAAATGGGCTGATACATGGGGTACCTGGGTAGCTCAGTCAGTTAGGCATCTGCCTTCTGTTCAGTTCGTGATCTCAGGGTCCTGGAATCAAGCCCCACATCTGGGCTCCCTGCTTAGCAGGGAGTTGCTTCTCCCTCTCCCTGTATCTCCCCCGACCCCTGCTCATTTTCTCTCTCTCTCTCTCTTCCTCAAATAAATAAAATCTTTAAAAAAAACTGATGGATAGAATATATGTAAAGTTCTAAGTGTAGTGGGCTCACTAAATACTAGATCTAGTTATTATTATTACTGTCCTTTAAAATCATAGCCAAACTTGCTGAAATTTTATCTGCTAAGGGTTTTCTTAATTTTGTTCAGGATAGAGATATAATTACTATGCAATTTCTTGAAACATTCTAAAAGTCACTTCACAAATTTAAATAGATTACCCTAAGTACTATGTAAGAGTGGTGACATTTGTGCATTTTTGTCACAAAGATAAATTTACATACAAAGACTAAAGCTTGGAAGATAAACACTTTGATGCAAAGCAGCTGTAGGTTTAGATAGGTGGGGTGGGGCTCGAACACAGAGTACAAGGTCCTACATCCACAGAATGCAATGTCCTCCATCCTTGTCCTTGAGACCCTTGCATCCTTTCTTTCTCCCTTTCTCATGGTTCTTTTTTTTTTTTTTTAAGATTTTATTTATTTATTTGAGAGAGAGAATGAGAGACAGAGAGCATGAGAGGGAGGAGGGTGAGAAGGAGAAGCAGACTCTCCGCTGAGCAGGGAGCCCAATGTGGGACTCGATCCCGGGACTCCAGGATCATGACCTGAGCCGAAGGCAGTCGCTTAACCAACTGAGCCACCCAGGCGCCCTCTTTCTCATGGTTCTTAAGGGAAATACCTATCATGCGTCATTGGGCAAAGTTTCATTGGGTAATTTTACTACTACCCCATATGGTAAAGTTGTAACATCCTACTTTGGCTGACACTCTAAGCCTTTTTCATTGACATGAGTGTAGCCACATGGAACCAGTTAGAATCCCATTCAGGAAAATAGAAACCATGCTCAGTTCTCAAACAGAGGCAGTTTGATACACAATGTTGGTTCTACAGGTATGGGAAGGTTGAGAGAGCAATAACACGATGCACTAAGCAATTACCACTTCTAGGACTAAGGCAGCAAAAAGGGAAAGGTGGGGTTCCCAGAATTGAGGAGCTCAGGGGAGAGTCCCCAGTACAGCCAGCCTTGGACCACCATGGCAGGTGTGGTCAGCTGGTGCTGGGATGTCCAAGGGAGCAGCACATCTGGTGCATGGGTCAAAAGGGCTAGAAGCTAGAGCACAGCTGCCCTTGTATGCTGGAGCAATGCCCACAGAAGGTGGAAACAGAAAGAAAGTCCCTTCCCTCCTCCTACCTTCCTTTGTTAAAATATAACTGGAAGCTGGCCAGCAATGAAGCCTGGGAAATGTAGTTTGCAGAGTCCTGGCCCCAGTGCCACAGAGCAAATGGGTATAAAATATGGGCCTGGAGCTGCTAGACAATAAGTAAGTCACCAGAAAAAGTCATTTTGTCCAATAAATAAATAAACCATAAGCACGTGTATTAAAAAGCTTGAGATGGCTAGGGTGAATTTGTAGTCTTAGTTCACTTAACTCTTTTTTTTTTTTTAAAGCTGGGTTTTTTTTTTAAGATTTTATTTATTTATTTGACAGAGAGAGCACAAGCAGAGGGAGAGAGAGGGAGAAGCAGGCTCCCCGCTGAGCAAGGAGCCCGATGTGGGACTCGATTCCAGGACTCTGGGATCATGACCCGGGCCGAAGGCAGCTGCTTAACCGACTGA